GGCTCGGTTAAGTCAGCTGCGATATGTCAAAGTAAACGGCTATAAAGTCTCAACTGAAGGCGGAGCTGGGTGCCGGAACTGGCGCCAGCAGTAAAAAGTTGCGTGCTCTGCGTTTGGATGATTTCCAGACATTGTTTTTGGTGGTGTTTACTTGGTTTGTTAGTTTCAACTTGTTCTCCGAGTTGGGGACCATCCAGAAGAGGGTGCGGAAATTGGAGGATGGAGAAGGAGGGTAGAGACAGCTTCCAGCAAATATCACTCACAGGCCGTTGGACAAAAGTTGCAGACCAATTACGAAGGAATTCTGGTCAGCCAAAGCGCAGCACAAATTAATTTAAATATTTAAATACTTTAATTATTTTTTAACTGTCCAGAGAGGGGTACAGCGTGCAGACAGGCAGTGGGTTGTACAGAGTGGGGCGTACAAAAGCCAAGTGCCACGATCCAGGGGCCTGCACATTGCTCATACATAGCTGCATGGCAACCTGAAACAACGACAACGACAGCGTCAACGGGCAAACAGCCAAGCGTAAACTTAACTGACAAGTGGAGACTTAACTTCCCATAACAAATTGCATTCCAATTGCATGTCGTACCCCCCTTCCCAGCCACCAAATCCCGCGAGGCATGAGCAAACACACACATCCCATCCAGCCACATTCAGTCACTCTTCAGGACCATGTCTCCTGCAGGACGATGTCGCCATTGCTGTTAATTTAAATTGCTTTAAAAAAGCATGTGCAGATGCAAATGGAGAGTCCAAAATGCAGAATGCACGCCACATGAAGTGAGGAAAATGATGGGGAACAGAAGCGGGTGGTACGTCTACGTATACCCTCATTCAGCAGGCCAAATGGTAACAGGAGCAACTCCGAGCTGGCAGTTGGCAGCTCCTGCCGAGCAGCAGCCTCTTGAGCTCCCTGCACGAGCACAACGCACACAGACACACAACACGGGGAGAAATTCCTTTGATGCCTTCAATGATTCATCGATACTCGCATTATCTAATATGAACCCTAATCACAGCGAATCGCTGTAAGGCAGAAATGTTTCCAATACATTTCATTTGTTAAAGTAAAGGAGTTTTTTTTGCAGTGCACACAAGCCATGCTCGAAATATTCCTAAAGGGTGTGAAAAGTATGAATGCAGCCAAGAAGGTGCTCACGAATGGCACAGGAGCTGAGTCAGTGGCAAAGTGGGGGCACGCGCGTACCTGCGCTGAAAGGAAAACAAAATTATGCAACTTGAGAACCAGAAAACAGACAGACAGGCAGACAGACAGGCACGGCACCCCGCAAGCATAGGGGGAGTTTGGGGTAGCTGCTGCTCCTTGGCTGCTTTTCAGTTGCCATCTCAGTTGCAGTTTGCTCTTGCTGTTGCATAAAATATGGCTGCTGCTGCTGCTCCTGATTCTCATGGGAGCACATGAGAGCGTCTCGACTTTAGCAACAGAAGCAGGGCATCTCTGGGGAGGCGGAGTACCTATTTCAGTTACTGTTTCTGCATTTGCATTCAATTAAATCAGGACTTGAAGTAATTGCCAAGTAAATACAAGTGACTGGGCTGGGCCAGGACACGACTAGAGAGGATTATAAAACAATTTTTCAAGTCGCGAGTTTTTTTGGGAGCGGGAGCTACGGGAGGAGCACTTTTCTTATTGATAAAAATTGTTAAACTGACAACTTTGCTCGACCAAAGTTGTGTGGGTTGTCACAAAAAAAGAGAACCCTTTAGTCCTGGTCGAAGTCCCTATGCTGCCTCCAGTCAAAAGTTTATTAAAATTCAGAACAAGAAGCAGCCGAGCCGAGCCGCAACAAGAAAGTTCCGTTCCCAGAAATTGTATTACAAACAGGAAAGAAAAGATGTTGTTGGGACCGAGGCATTAGATACCCTTGCAGGGCCATTCTCCACTTAGATCATTCTTCGATGACATCCTACCCACCCAATAATCTTAGATATTCCGATTTATTAAGCTCTGCTCTCCTTCGCAAACATCTAATCAAACCTCATAACCTTCCCGTTGTAAGGGTGCACAAATATAGCAAAAGATAAACACAGGAGAGTAGAGAGCGCGGAGCAAGGAGGAGCCATGCTCTGCCACATGTGTCGTGTGTCGCCTTTAGGGGCAAATCGATAGAAGATTGAATTGAAGCAGCAGCTGAGCCCGAGGCTGTACCCGTTCCAGTTCCGTTCCGTCCCTCCAGTGCCAATCCAATCTGTCGCATTGCGGTTAAATTCAATGATTTGTGGCTCCTACTGAGTCTTAATTTATCAGCTCTCTCCCGCCTGCCCCAAGACAATTCCCGCCTAATGGAGAGGCAGACGCGGTGGCGTGAAACTTTTTTTAATTCTTTACAGTTAAGTTCAACTTTTGGCCAAAATAATTTGTATGCGGCTGCCACCAGCTTACAAGAGAAAGTTCTCTGTTGCACGAGGGCTGTACGGAGGAGGAGGGAATAGTGGACGAATGCCTTCAATGTCTGTCGAGCAAAGAGGGGATGAGTGGGAGAACAACATACATGCATACGTGCATGCTCCGGCTACTTATGGTCCCTCTACCTCTCGCCGCTTGCACTCCTTCGTTCCGTTTTCGTCAAGGTGGCACCCGTTTTAATAGGGTGGCAAGTTTAGCAAGAGTTTTCACAGCAAGAGATCTCATTCGATTCTAATCTGTTCAAGGCTTATCCATGTTGACTTAGGTCTGTAGAAGGTTGTTAATGTGTTTGTGGCATCAAGAGAAGAGCAGAGAAGGCTGTACCTTTGGTGGCTAATCATTATTTTATTGAGAAAATCAATGTCCGTTGGCATTGCCTCACCTCACTTAATTACATCTTGCTTGCTGGCTGAACACTTGAGTTGCATTGTCCTCTTTGTCCGGGACTTGCACATGGTTGCTCTTTCCATTCACGTGCTGGGAGAAAACCGTGGGAAGAGAGGAGGGGCATGCCCTGCCGGTTGGAATGTGTTGACATAGCGCTAAATTTTACAGTTACTTTTTGTTTGCCCTTCTGCTAGACGTTCTCCCACTACACTCTGCACACTCTCTTACTCTCTCACTCTCTCTCTCTTTCTGTTTCTGTAAGGCACTTTCTGTAGTTAAAGTTTCAAATTTTCTGGGAATATTTATTCAAGGCTAAAGGGGCCAAATCTCGTTTAATGTTGTGGCCAAACTTTGTAGGGTCTCCGTGCAAGCAAGGATTTTGCGGCTAATCAAACATTTTGAATAATGCAGTAATGGCTTAAGTGGTGAACTCCATTTACCTGTTAACCCTGTGGCTTTGGCTTTCTGCTCTAGCGTTAATTAGTCAATTTTTAAATTTATTTAAGGTATTTTTAAAGGATTTTCCTCAATTATTATGCCTCAATTCTCAGCAGAGTTCTTGTGTCACAAATGACAGCTTCCGCCCATCAAGTTTCCCCTTGGCACCTACTACCTCCCAAATTACCCAATTGAACTTAAATGCCCCGTGGAAAAGAAAAACGTATTTCTCCCACACTGCCATCAAGCCTACTCAAACATCGCCCACTACTTCTACTGCCCCCTCTCTGTTTCATTGTCTCAGCCCACTAACCTTGCTCATTTACCGCTAATTTTGTCACTGTAGCAATCTCGTGGCATAGCAAAGGAGTGTGAGCTGGAGAACGGCAGCTAATGCCGCTTAACCGTTATGGCTATAAAAGGAAGCTTTGAAAGCTTTTGGCCCAAGCTTAATGCAAAGCGACTCAATAAACGACGAGAGACGATAAAGGCCAAAACATCACCTGAACACAATTCGCATTCACGCTCTCTCTCTCGCTCTCTCTGTCTCTTTTGCTCCAAGTAACCCTTGCTCCAGCAACAGCAGAAATGGCCGCAAATCCCCCCAATGGACTTTGAATCTTTTCCCCAGAAGGCTGCCTGCCAACTCCATTGAAGCGTAAGAGTTTCTTGCCAGACTCCATTCCAAATCAACTGCATTCCTAAGCCCTGTCAGGCATTTTATGGCCAACACGAAAGCTAAACTTTTACCGAGGGACTCGTAACCAACCCGGCCAAGAATTCACTCTCGCACTAGCACTCGCACTCCCCCGCACTCCCCGCCCCCTTCCTTCTATTCCTCTCCTTTTCTGCTTTCTCTCCCTCGATTTGCCTGGCTCGTAAAATTTTATGCGTTTTTTGCGCCCTGCGTCCTGCGTTTGGCGTTGAAAATGAAAATTGTTACTCCACAATGAGCCAGGGTTTCCAGCTCCCGGCTGCGGGCTCCAAACTCAATGGCATTCGAGTCGAGTCGAGTCAAGTCGAGTGTTGTGAGGCTTGCCAGACCCTGCCGGGTCCTCTGTCCTCGCAGGGGTTCGGTGCCAATGAGAGCTCTGATAGAGATGGCAGCCTCATGAAATTCAATTCCTTCAATCACGAAATGGCCCCACTTTGGCTGGAGCAACGTGCTGCGTGTCAGCGAACATCGTGTCACGCGACCATCCTTGGCCCCCCTCCTTGTTGTTGTTTTGTTTGTTTGGTTTTTATGACTTTGGGGTATTTATTTCACTTGAAGCTAGACGAGGGAAGGCAGAAAGCGGAACAAGGGAAGCTCTGGAGCTGCTGCTCTTGCCTGATGTTTCATTTCTGTCGTTTCGCTAGCTTTCCCTCACAGCCTACTCCATCGCCTGCCTCTGCGTTAATGAGTCAACACAAAAGGCTCAGCTGTTTGTTTAATGCATGTTCCACCCCTTTTTCAGGCAAGACATGATACGACACCACCCCATCCTTCAGATTGCTATTCGGTTTTGTGTCTTACGATTCAATTTCGGTTGCAAAAATGTTAAAGGTGTTTATTTGTTGGTTGAATCGATCAAATATACCTCTTCCAAATAACATCTGCCTACGAAAAGTAGGCACAGTTCCACCCTATTTTTAAAGAGTTTGTGGGAATCAATTTAAACCATATGGAAAACCATTTCATGCTTTAGTTCCAGTAATGAGCCACAAGAAAATTAGTTTAAATTTGCACAGTAGCAAAAATATATCTAGAGGTTCAGGAGATGAGGATTGCATTAATTTTGTTGGCTTTTTCCATGAGTTATAAGCATACGCATACCCTGGAATTGGGTATTTTGAGACCCTATGGCGAGATTCCCTTTAAAGGTGAGTGTCTCCTGCTAGCATATTTTCCATGGGAAACGAATTTTTATTAAAATCAGTACGGGTTTAGCCTGCCTAATTGATGTTGGGATGCGATCGGGCTACTGCATAGATCTGTCACTTAAGGAAGTCTTTGTTCCCGATACAAATGAAACAATTACCAATATCCAGTGTCGCGTATTCTCGAGGTATCGCAGTTGCACGCCGCCGGCCAAATGCTGCACCGATGGCTGGGACTACACCTACGTGGTAAAAACAGACAACAAATAATGGGGGGATTTTCCCATTAAATTCTTATTAAATTTACGTCACTTTTGTGTGTGTGTTTGTTGTGCTTCAAGTAATTGAGTGAGCAGCGGGAGTGGAATCAAGTCTTACTTTTTGGGGTGGTTGCATAGTTGGGTGTTCCATGAACTGGCTACTGCCTACCCCCTTTTGAGAGACCACGGCTCATATTCAGCATGGCCCAAAAACACAATTCAAACTTTCCCTCTCGCTAATTGTGCGAATATTTTGCAGAGCGCGGCTGCCATTAAAACCAGAGCAGACCTATAAAACTCTGCACCACAGCCTCATATGCACATACATGTGATTGCCGAAGAGATGGCTGACGGGCTGAGTAATAAACGAGTCTGCGATGTGCTTCAATTATGTGCCAGGATGCCAGGCTGCCAGGCTGCCAGGCTGCCAGGCTGCCTGGCCTGCTGCTTTCCCATGCTCGTGTGTCGCAAACTTTGGCCTGTGATGAATGCGAAAATATGTTTTCGGCAACTCCATAATGAGGCAACTTCGCTGAGGGGATGCCAGGGCCGAGCAGAGCCGATACGAGGCAAGCCGCGTGCACCATCAATCTGCGGGTAGGGCTGTCGCTGCCTTAGGGAAGTGGCGGGGCTATGAAAACAAAAGTCAAATTTTCTGCGAAATTTATTTTGTGCCTTGTCCTGGTCTGGCCATTGTCGCGTATGCGTAATGTCATGTGCAATTTATGAGCCGCCAGGTAAAAGGCATAACCATGTGGTATAGGTCAGTGGGGAGCCAGCCACTGCCACTGCCACTGCCACTCCCCCAGCTGCTATGTGGCGTGGCGTATGAGTAATGCACATTTTACGCTTGAATTGCCAAAGCATGCGCCACCATTTTGCCCACTTTAAGTGCCCGTGCTCCACAGTCACCGCTTCGCTTCCCTGCATAAAATATTAATAAATTGAAAGCCATGTGAAATGGCATTTTTATGTTTGTTCTCCTGCCCAGCAGCAGCTTAGTTTAGGCCTTCTTTTGTTGCAGCACAGCAGCTGGGATTCCATTACGAAATGCAAACTACAAACATTGCGCATACGCCATGTGTGCCGGGCCTGGTGTCTGTCGTGTATTTTGCATTTTAGGCAGTTGCTATCAAATGCATTTTCTGTGCAGTTTTGGGGTTTTTTTATTTTCGCTTCAATCAGTATTTGCCATTGGGTACAATTTTCATATTTGTCAGAGCTGAATATTAGAGATGTTTCAGAGGAAGCACGGGAAGCCTCCTCCTGTAGAGAATTCCTTCTTCTCCTGCCTTTTTTTTTGGCCAACTCTTTGCGCTCTGCCTGCCGCACTTCCTGCTAGCCAACTGTTCAATCAACCTTTTTCGGTGGAGGCATTTGCTATTCATGACAGGCAGATATATTTGTACGTGCCAGGAAAAGTTAAGCAGCCCATCCACATCCACATCCACTAGCCCTCTGCCAAAAAGGAATATGCCAACTCATTCTGGAACGGTGCTTGGTAGTTGGGCATTTTTTCTTGTCGCTGCTGCTGTTGCTATTGCTGATTCAAATGCAAATATTGCTTTTCGTTTTCGGGCCTAGATTTGGGCCTAGCCAAAGTTTTCGCACGAGGAAACTTTTTGGCATCGTAGCCACACTGGAGAGAGTGGGACTGGGCCAACTTTAAGCTCCAATAAGCCAAGGCAACTTTACGGTTTATTGCCATGTTTGTTTGTCAATCGTTTTGGCTGAGGCAGGGAGCGCTGAGGAAAGAGCGAGGGGCAGAACCGACACTCAATCCGGGCATTCAATAGGCGTTCATTTTTCAAATCAAGTGAAGTGTGAATGAGCCAAGGAGCTCTCTACACGCTGGCCCAAAGGACCCTTAAAAAATTTTTGCCCCAGTCCAGCTTGGATTTCTTTTCTTTAAATAATTCAGAGAGGATTTCTCGTATTGTCGGTTAAATTTATTTATTCGTGTTTATTTAAATGTTTTGTAAACATGCATCAAAGCTTAAAATACTAGTTATAAATTTGTGTGTGTGTGTGTGTGTGTGTATGTGTGTGTTCCTTATTTTATCGTATCTGTAAACACTATATAAAACGTACCTATAGATATATGTATTTATATATTGAAGTGTGTTTAAAATTGGATACATTTTGCAATGCTAAAAACTAAAATTTGGCATAGCTTTCTGTTACTTTTCGCACTCGAAAGAGCTCCTATGCCAGATTATTCAGTTATATCTTAATTATTCTTTATAATAAAATGCTGATGTGTGACGTGTGGATGTTTAAAAATATTCACTAATACTAGAAATGCTTTCAACTGGTCTAAATGCAAATATTTTGTGGCAGTTTCTTATGTACATTTTACCACGCAAATGCAAGACTATTATCGAAGATATCATAAGATTACTCGGGGAATACCGACCAATATAAATGGGTGTGTGTGTGTGTGTGTGTTATAGAGGGTGTAATTGTGGTACATATCATATGTTTTGTACAGTTAAAACGTATCCATATATAGAACGCATGTTAAACAGGCGCAGAGAACTTAAGGTTAAGCCTGGACAAGAAAATACTTGGTTGGGATTGGTTGTGGGTTGGGAAATGCCTGTAGGGGTGGGGATATACTTGGGGAATAAATCTAGAAATTACTTTTTGGCATTTGCTCAATCAGTCTGGGGCCTCCTCACTTCTCGGCTCCACTCTGCATGGCCTTGCTCAGGGCGGATCCCAGTTGACTGAAGGACGGACGCTCCTTGGGATTGGCCAACCAACAGGATAGCTGAACACACAACAGACACATTAATTAGCATCTGTTTCCATCACTGGATTAATGGCAACTTCAAACACTTACCAATATCTCTTTGAGGCTGTCGGGCGTGGCCTCGGCCACTGTCCACTCCAAGGTGCCGGCCTGCGACCGCTGGATAACCTGCTCGCTGGTGAGCTCCTCCTGTGGCAGCTTGGTGGCCTGATTGAAGAGCTCCCACACTACCACGCCGTAGGCAAAGATGTCGCTCTTGGTGGTGTACTCATCCTCCTGGATGCACTCGGGCGCCATCCAGCGCACCGGAAGCAGCGCGTTCCTGTGCTTGTGGTACTCGCGGCTGTACTTGTCCTTGCACAGGGCCGGATAGGAGACCTTCACGATAAACTCGCTGGAAATGACACAATTGCGCGTGGCCAGATCCCTGTGGAAAAAGGACATCAGCAAAGTTTAGAGGATAGCCAGGGGGGGGGGGGGGGGTGGTAATGGGAATCTGCAGTTACCTGTGTGTGCAGCGTGCACGGTAGATGGCATCCATGCCGCGTGCAATCTGGTAGGCCACGGCCAGCACCTGGCTGGTGGTCAGTGGCGGCGGTGAGGACGTGGCCGTGGCTGTGTTCACCTTGCCAGCGGTGGCCAAGAGGAACTGCTTGAGGTCGCCCCAGTCGGTGTACTCCAGCACCATGTAGTGGGGATCCTTCTCGCGGCAGAGACCAAACAGACGGACGACTCCCTTGTGGGAGATGCTGCGCAGCAGATCCAGCTGGCGACGGAACTCCTGGCACGCCTGCTCGTCCTTCACTTTGTTCAGCGCCTTGACCAGGACGAGCTGGTCGAGTGCCGACTGCTCGGGCTCCTCCTCCTTGATCTCCTCGATGTCGTCCATGGAGGTCTTCGAGCGTCGCTTCTCGTTGAGCGTGCTGAGGGTGGTGCTGCCGCTGCCACTGCCACTGCCACTGCCTCCACTTCCGTTCTCGCTGTTGCTGTGTTGCTTGTCAGTGTCCCCGTCCTTGTCGGATGTCGCGCTGGCCGCCACCAAGGATCCCTTCAGCTTGCCCACGAACACATCTCCGAACTCTCCGCGTCCAATCTGCAGGAGTTCGCTGAGACCCGAGCGGGGCAGGACGAGCTGTTCGTAGACGGATTTCTTGGAGCTTCTCGACTGCTGGCTGCAGGCCGTGTCATCCGACTTCTGGGCATCTCCGTTGGATTTGGACTTGCCCTGGCTCTGGCCATTACGCTGTTTGGACGACAGGCACGGCTCCTGCTCCGATCCCTTGCCATTTGTGACGGTGGCATCCGGCTGATCGCCGCCAGCCTCCTTGATGCTGAGCTCATTGAGGCGTGCCTTCCGCGCCTGCCGACGGTAGCGGCACCACAGCATAAGGCCCACCACCAGGACAATGTATGCCAGGGCCACAGTCATCGTGATGAGCACAGCACGCGTGACCAGGAAGCCATCGCCGCCCGTCTCCTCGGGGGCAAAGCCATCGCCGGTGCTGCGCACCACCAGCTGCACATCCTCCCGCTTCAGGCCCGCACTGTTGCCGATGGTGCAGCCGTAGCTGCCCTCATCCTCCACCTGAACATTGCGTATCTCCAGGGTGCCGTTCTCCAGGAAGCTGAACCGATCGCGATCCGTGTTATTCTCGCTGAGATACTTCAGGTCCTTGTCCCACTGAATCGTCGGCCTGGGATCCCCAATGGCCTGGCAGTGCATCACCACAGTGCCCTGTTCCGTTGTCTCAATGGGTCCCTCCGGCGGCACACTGAACTTGGGTGTGACCACCACATTGATGGCCACGGTGGCATTGATCTGGCCCTGACTGCTGCTGGCCAGGCACGTGTAATTGCCCCGATGCTCGGCCCGCACATTTCGAAAGATGAGCGTCCCATTGATGTCCACCTCCACCTGGTTGGGCAGCGAGCTGTTCCCAGTGCCATCCTGGATGGAAATGGAACGCCGATTAGTAAACAATTTCCACGCTGCTCGTTTGATGGGTTTTTCATCAAAAATTCAACAACAAAATGGAACGCAGCTCAACGTTTGTTTTGGACCAAATGAAAAAACAAATTCTGATGAAAGGTCCTGGTCCTGGTCCTGGCCTCTCTTTTCTCTTTCGAATAGACAAACAGTTGGCAAAATTGGTTGGCCATGGGCAACAGCTGGCAGCAAATTGAATGTGCTCATGGGAGGAGGAGAAGGAGGAGGAGGAGGTTACCTGGTGTTTAGGCCAGATAGAACCCATGGACTGGATCGAGTTTTGCATATGAAATGGTTGGATTCG